TTTCTTCCTAATTCTGGGTGCTATATCTCCTCTCCATTTGCTGATTTCTTCTCTGTTCTTAGCCATCCTAACCATCACCTTAACCCTTATATATTCTAACAGTTGGATGATTGGCATATACCTGGCATCCATTATTCAATTGTTGAAGGTCTCATTCATGTTGTTATCCACGACATCACATTTACATGATGTGTCAAAGAATGCCTTGCACCACAGCTCTGGTGGGATTGATTTTAAGGCATCATGACCTTCCACGGATAAATTTCTGATCTCCTCCATGTTTTCGTTGAATTGACATTCATATGTTGACCTTGCAGCAATCCAGAATCTTTTCTTCAATAGTTTCCCTTTGAAATTTTTTTGCCAATTGGCATATAAATGCCTAGCACACAATCTATGCGTAGCCTCGGGGAAAACTGTTTGTCTTGCATTAATCAACCCCTACCAAATTGTGTTTAATGAAAACAAATAAGGTTAATGATTGATAGTAAAGTCAATTGAATTATACAATAAATAGAATTGATGAGTATAGTAACATAAAGATATTGATAATATAAATTAATTCATAATAGATTGTGCACACTTACAGGATGTTGGTCCGAAATGAACGTTAAATCTCGCCCAGTGTGGTTTGATAGATCATCAGCTAGACATAAAAAAAAAAGTCCATGAGCTGGTAGACTCTGAGTCAACAACAGCCCAAGCTATTGGGAACATTTGATTGTTCCCATCCCTTGCAACAGCTGCCAAAATAGTTCCTTTGAACATCCCCTTGAGGAAACAGGCATCTACTCCAATTATTGGTCTACAACCTAGTAGAAAACCCTTCCTACATCCTTCTAGACACACATAGATTCCTTTAAACATAGGTTTTCCCTTTGGAGTTGTGGGTGGCTCACTGTCAATTTGAACATTTGACTGAGGGGACAATCTCAACAGCTCTTCTGCATACCCTCTTAACTGAGCAAATTCCTTCGTGTGAGTTTCCTTCACCTCCTTCATAATCTTTCCTTTGCTAGTTTACACTTATCCCTTGAAACATGAACCCCTAATTCTAAATGAGACAATCTCACTATCTCACTGATTCTGATCTGTGGATTTGCTATAATTCTGTTCCTATGGTGTTCTACAAGTACCCTCGACCCAACCATATTGGACTTCAAACTCCTAAAGCAAGTGTGTTCCTTGCAATATGTCTTCACCTTAAAAGTCTTGTCATTTTTATCAAAACTGGCAAAGATACTCCAATTGCATTGTTGACCAACACAGTGAATTCTCTGCCTGGTGGGGTCACTTTTAACAGGTTTCAACTTACAGCCTTTTTGAATTTGGTATTTAGCTATAGCCTCCTTAAATTGTGCTACATGCTCA